TGGTAAATATGAAAATAACTTAAAAAACTACAAGCAAACATTAGTTATCTTCCCCTGTATTTTGCCAGGTAAGTTTATTCATTCCACAAAAAAGCCACGGGGTTTTGGTCATCTCAAGTCCCATAAAATGGATTTTAGCTTGTAAAGCATAATATACTCAAGGTGTTGACAGATTGTACTAAAGATTTAAAGATTGGTAATGCTTATGAATAGCTTGCCAGGTGCAAGCACTTGTTACAATAAACCTATGAAGTCAGGGACTGCTGTTTTCACTGCCTTACAACAAAACTGGAATTAGGTTAAGTAACAGACATCTGGAGAATATCAAAGCGTGTTTTTGAATGAAGTCTGACTCCAGAACTCTTCTTAACCACTAAGCCTTGTGCTCTTTATTCTGTACCAGTGACATTGGTAAAATATAGGTCTTAGTATCATTGCAGATTGTGTCATTAGGTCATTGCCCTGTTTGTTTTCCTTTGTGGTTCTCTTTGCTCTAGGTGCTGGCAGCCTTGCTCAGAAGGCCAAAGAAAGGAAACTGGTTGGGCAGTTCCTGACTAAGGAATTTAGTGACAAATCCTCAAATGCTCCACCACTGAGCTACATCCTTAGCTCTTCTAGTTTTTAAGGTTGCTATGACTGCATAAATTAAATTTTTTTTTAAATCTGGGGAGAGATTTAAATTAAAGAGGTAGAAACTAACTACAATCATTTTTGGTAAGTACTTTCCTTTGCCTGACTTGTTGAGAAAGACCTGAAGGTAATTTTTATTTTATTTTTTTAATTTTTTTCCAGCACTGGGGATTGAACCTGGGACCTTGCACATACTAGGCAAGCAAGCGCTCTACCACTGCACTACATCCCCCAGCCTTAAAGGTAAATTTTAAATCTCAACATAGTCTGTCCATTTTGGGGAGCAAAGACAATGAAAAGGCTGGATCACAGTGCAACAAATGTGCCTGAATGTACTACAGAACATAAAATATATGGTATTAATTGTGATGTTAATAGCGTTTTCTTTATGCACAGCAAGGCTGTAGGTATTACTTTGAAATGGGAAGAAAGGAACTTCTGTTTTGACTTTTTTAGGTGGTAGTAAGGTACAGTCACAAGAGGAGATAGGAGAGACAGAAAGCAAAACAAAAACAAAAAGGTTTAATCACAGGTCTGAAAGAGACAGTCACAGCACACCAAGCGGGTCACCTGGGAGACAGCACCGTCGGAGGGGAGGTGCTTTACCAAGCAGGTGGAAACAAAGAGGCCAAGACGAATGGGCAAGTACCTTGGGAGCAGGAATAAGTACACCAGAAAAGGTATGAGGGGATTTCAGTGTGTAAGTATTTCTAGTAATGGTCATGAAGAATAGGAAACGGGGACGCCTGTATCACTGGTGCACCTGCTTTCCTGGTCCAGGTGCTCACAGCCTGTTTGTGGGAAGGTTGAGGCAGCAAGAAGTTTTAAAGCGTTCAATATAAATGCAAAAATGTACACTACAAAATCTTACCCATTAACACCAGCCCCACCTTTATTTCATCTTGCATTCACTCTTTGGCCGACGATTGGTCTATTTACACCACTGAGTAAAGAACCATGTCTTGACTTGAAATGCCAAGGACAGGGTTGTGTGGCAGCTCAGTGACAAAGCACTTGCTTAGCATGCATGAGGCCCTGGATTCCAGGGCCAGCACTACACACACACAAAAATACCATGGACAGTTTTTATTGAAGTCTCTAAGTCTTCTTTTAAATGGTATGTGAAAGCTAGAAGAATGTATTTTATGTTGGGCTTCTGGATATGATTCTAATAATTTTTCACCCCAACCTGTTTGGTAGGTTTTCTTTGCCATTTAAATTCCTTACTACTGTATTGCTTTCAGTACTACTGAATTAGTGAAAATTGTAAAGTTTTAGTTCCTTCCTAATTTCTATGTTCCAAGATTGTGGGCTGCTTCATTGTTCAGAGGAAAGACTAGAGGGCCCTGCCAATACTATGGATGACAGAAATACCTGGATCGGTTCTGGCACCCTCTTTTTAAAAAATTCCTGCCTTCAGTAAATTAAGTTAAATATTATGGCTTATATTTCATTGGTTACTTCTAGGCTCAAAAGTTTGAGAATTTGTTACTAAAAGTATTTATACAGAGAACACACACTCTTTTGTTTCCCATACCTTAGACAACCCCCCTCAGTTTGAGGTAAATCAGTCTTAACAAGGTCATGAATTGCTGTGGTTTTATTGTCATTCTGAATTCTCTTTTCATTCTTATCAATTTCATTTGTGAAACCCTGGGGTGAAACCCATGTTTTAAAATAGGGAAACAAAAATTGGATTGTATCGAACATTTCAGGAAACAAACTTTTTTGTTTTATGCCACCTTGCAATCTTTATTAAAAGAGGCTCAGAAAAATAGAGCGCATTTAAATTTCCTTTGTTCTATTCCTCGAAGACGTTTACATTTCTAGATGATCTATAAAGACAGTTATGTGAAATAAGTATCCATAGTTGAAATACAAAAACTTCTTTTTCAGTGTGCAAATACTAGAACCTATTTTGTCTAAATAGTATGTTTCTAATCTTTTTTAGAGCTATGTTCTGCAATTAAAAGAAAGATTTAAAAAAAAAATACAAAGTTCCAATGATATGTGATCTTATGCCTTGGTATTCCTGCCTCTCCTATAAACTGTTAAAAAGAGTTAAATTTTAGTTCTGCTGGGGGGCTTTTCTAAGCTTCAATGCATTATCATCTGGTAGAAAGCAGAAGATAGGTTTTTCCCTCACTTAATATAAAAGGTATCCCTTTTGAAAGAGCTAGTCTTGCTCTACCCTAGGTTTAGGATTGATTCATTCTTATTTGAATGAATCTTCTAGATTAAATTTGCTGAGGCAGTTAGTGTTGCTTCTGGGTTAAATGGCAAACTACATGCTCTGTTGAAAAAGGAAACAGCTGAACAACAGAAACCCTTTGACGTTTCAATGTGGGGTCACATTTGCTCTTGGAAAATTGAGGTTGTTATCCCTTCGCATGAACTGTGTGGGATTTAAGCTCCTGGTTTGTAGAGACCACTGGTTTTCCAACTCATTGAAGTATCTTTGTTTATACCAGGTGATGGGGACTGCTTTCCATGAATGTGAGAGACATGTACTACTAATACTTGCACACCAATGTGTTAGGCTACTACTGCTGAGTAAGATGGCACAAACCTAAGACAATAAAAATTAGCATTTTTTTGAGGCAATCAAAGTTGAAAGTTAGTCACCATGAGTCACTGTGGGCATAGAATTTAGATTGTGATTTATAATCATTATCTTGGTGATTAAATCTTGGCAAAATAATGACTTCTGCATTCTGAAAATTTTCACTGACTAAAAAGGAAGAATTAAAAAAATGCTTCTGTAGAGATAATAAAGCTCATTAAAAACAGATAAATATAGGAAAAATGTGAAAAGATACTAGGAAAGATTTCATACTTTTTTCCTGAGTCCATGTTTCTGGCCCTCGGATAAGGTTTTTCTGGCCTGTGCAGTTGTTGGCCATAGTAGAGGTTTTCTAGAGAGCTCCTGGGCATTTAACTTTGTACGTAGGCCAGACTGCTGTGGATGGGAGGTGGGCTGCATTTTACCTACTCCAGTCCATTCCTTAAAAATGTTTACCATATACAATGACTTAGACATTACCAGCAGCTTTCTTCTAAATAAGCCTGTTTAGAATGAGAAGCACATGAAAGCTACTGTGAACAATTTAATGAAAAATGTCTTCTTATGGTGTTGCAATGCATTGGTTGGCAAAAATAAAACAGTTGGAAAATTGCCTCAAAACTAAAGGGCAGGGGGGAAAAAAAGGAAATTGAGCGATGTGTGTACAGTAGCTATATTTTCACCAGCTTTCACTAACTTCCATTAAATAGCTTTACCTCCAGAACTTAGGTTCTAAAACTAAGTAATAGTTTTTGCTTAATAGTCAAATAGAGCCTCAGATGATGTCTCCCACAGAAAGGGAGCAGTGCAAAAATAGGACACTCCTCTATTGATCATGTAGAGTTTTCTGTGTCTCTGCCAGAAAATATTCTGGGTTGAATTGTGTTAAGAAATATGGGGTAACTATTGCAAAATGTGTATAAGGATAAGGTGTTTAAAATTGAAGTTTTTAAGTAATTTCAGGAATACCATTGCCAGTTTGTTAGCGAATCTTGTTTTCTTTTCAGGAAGAAAATGAATACTGCATATTACTCTATAGCAATATGTGAAAAATCAGGCCTAAAGATATTTGTACAATGTCTTGAATCTTGCTGCATATTCTTGTGGTTTATGAAATGGGTAGATTTTTTTTTTCATTTCTACAGAGGATAAGCTTGACAAATTAATCATCTTGCTACTTCCCCCATGAAAATTTAATAAATGAATTAGGGGTGTCCATGATTTTGTATAAATGAAAGGTAACTTTACATTTTAGCCTCCAGATGGAGAAAAACAAGTACAAGTTTCTCTGATTTCTTTAAAGCAAATTGAGTTCTCAAAGCTTACTCTACCTTTCTAATCAAAGACAAAGCTGGTCTGGTGCTATTTTCCACAACAGAAATCCCCTCCCTGTTTTATTTAAAAACCAACCCCAAACCACAACCCAATTTACATGCTGTCCTTTATTCACATATAGAATTCTCATAGCCAGCAGGGCAACTTAAAAACACTTTCAAGAGGAATAATCCCAAGTCCTTTTTGGCAGAATTACCCTGTCATTTTGACATAGATTTTGGTATCTAAAAATTGCAGACTCAGTGGTTTCTAAAATTTTCCACATAGTATCAACCTCTGCAAATCCAAGATACTACAGATATACTTAATCTATTCAAATGTGGACCTTACCATCTGTGTAAAGTCAGCTGACAGGTGTTATATTCACCAACACCATGCTTTTGTGTGTGGATTGCAATATAAACCTTTTCACAAAAGCAATATGTTGCAAAATTGATGTCGCAAGACCCCCAAAATGACATTATAATTTCAGTCAAGCATTAAGAAGTTCATCATCTGAGTGTCCAATGGCATCTGGATTTGAAAGTGGATCCAAGTCTGCAAATAGATTGAACCAGGCTGACATGTCTTGGTTACCACTGTTGGGGGCTATTAAAAAAGAAAAAAGGAAACACATCAAAGAGTTTCAACTTTTTGAAGTCATATTTTTGTCCCACCTTTATAATTATTTAAATTATAATGAAGTAGATTATTCTTTTAAATAAAAAATTAAACTGACCATAATAATCAATTATATTTCCTTTAGGATAAATTAGCAAAGATAATGCAGATACTTTATGCTTTACTGATTCTACTAAAATTGAGTAATTGCATACTGCCCTGTGAAAAGACTTGAGAAGAGTAAAATGGCAAGCAATAATTACTACAGTCATTTTAGAAACATTTAATTTTAAGATAATTTATAGAAGGCTCTATTTTATTTATTTATTTTTATGTGGTGCTGAGGATCGAATCCAGGGCTTTGCACGTGCTAGGCAAGCGCTGAGTCACAACCCCAGCCCCTAGGATAAGGTAACGTTCTTTTCACAGGACAACAGAGGAACAATTTGAGCACCAAAATGATTACATAATGACTAGGAAACATTGAAAAACCATGAATCTATACTGATAATAAATGGGAAAGAAGAGAGGTCTCTTGTTTATAGCAGAGTAGTGAGAACCAATGAAGGAAATAAATTATATCAAAAGACTTGAAAATTCGATCTATAAATGAATAGATTACCAAATAGGGTGTACCCACTCAATGGAATGTTCTTCAGCCTTGCAAGCCTGTCCTACATGTGCTACAGGATGAATGAAACTTGAGGGCATTATACCAAATGAAATACCTGGTCACCAAAAAGCAGATTGTATTATTCCACTTGTATGAAGTATCTAAAGTGATCAAACTTACAGAAAGTAGAATGGTGGTTCCCAGGGGCTCAAGGAAGAGGAAACGGGGAGTGTTGCTGCGTGGGTACAGAGTTTCAGATTAACGTGATGAGAAAATTCTGAAGACTTGTATTCATACTCATGTGGACATAAATTATGGAACTAGTAGTGTTAAAACTGGTTGGGAGGGGCTGGGTTTATGGAACAGCGGTAGAGCGCTCGCCTAGCATGTGCTAGGTGCCGGTGCGAGCCTCAGCACCACATAAAAATAAATAAATAAAATAAAGGTATTGTGTCCAACTACTACTAAAAAACACATATATTTTTAAAAGATATTTATTTTTTAGTTGGACACAATACCTTTATTTCACTCATTTATTTTTTACGTGGTGCTGAGGATCGAACCTAGGGTCCCGCACATGCAAGACGAGTGCTCTACCGCTGAGCCACAACCCCAGCCCCCAAAAACACATATATTTTTAATGGTTGGGGATGGGTACAGCACAATGGTAGAACCCATGCTTTGGATGACTGAGGCCCTAGGTTCAGTCCCCAGCAATACAAACACCCCTAATTAAGATGGTAGTCATCTTAAGTGCTTGAATACATTCTTTGCCAGTAGGCATCCTATAATCAAAAAGCATCTTCTGGGATGGGGGTGTAGTGCACAGCAGAGTGCTCCTCTAGTGTGTGTGAGGACCCAGCACAGCCAAAAACAAAAACAGAAAACACATCTTTTGGGCTGGAGATATAGCTCAGTTTGTAGAGTGGTTGCCTCACATGCACAAGGCCATGGGTTCAATCCCTAGCACCACACACACAAAACAAAACACATCTTTTATTCCTAATGGTATATCAACTGCCAAGGAACCTGAAAACAAAATATAACAGATTACAGTTCAAAAGTTAGTATACTATGACAAGTTCACAATTTCTAGTCTGTGCTTTCAATGTGAAGGATAGCTTTCATTTTAATACTAACTCATTATTGACAAAATATTTTTCTGAACAATGTGAGGCAAAGACTATAAAAGTGATCCTTTCTAAGTTTATCCAAATTCAACTGTAATGCAGTGGGGAAAAATAAAGAACTTACATCTCATTAATTTCTTTGGACTCTGTGAAGGCACTGGCAGGTTATCAGTATGTTCTGATCCTTCTTGGGAGACCCAGCCTAGGGGGAGGGAAGTAAGAATTATCTACTGCTAACCAAGTAGGAAGTAATATCAGAAAAACAAGAAAAGGTAAAAAAAAAAAATCTTCCAGTCTTTGTACCAGAATAAGATTCTGTAGTCTAAGATTTTTTTAAAAAAAAAAAAAAAAAACTAAAAATTTATCTACAATTGTATATTTTATTCAATCATTCAAGTTTAGTCCCAGAGAGAATTGTTAGACATCCTTATATTTTCAAAGTGGTTTGAAATAAATATGTAGGTTTTGGGGTGGAGGAATGAAAATGAAGAAGGCACAGAAAGATGTTCAAAGCAATTGGGAAGAGAGGGCCTGAGAATTAGAATGTTGAAACCTATAATATAGTTATACCCTTGGATTTACTAATTCCATTCCTAGAAATTTATCTTAAGGAAATAAGATAAATTTTCCCTTTTAAACTAGGGAAAAAGTGCATGCATGGATATGTTTATTACAGCATTATCTGTAATAGTGAACAAACAGAAACAATAAGGAAAAAATTCATCCAGATTATGGCACATAAAGTAACAAAGCACTATGTAATTTAAAATTATCATTATGGAAACTCCATAGAGCACAGGGAAATGTTTGCTACAACATGGAAAAATATTTATGCTTTAATTGAAACGCAGCACTAGAAAGAATTTAGATTATCCTACCTAGTCCTTCCTTGTGTAAAAGAGATCATCTGAGGCTCGAGTAAGATGTTTTGATTTGAATGTCCCCTCCAAAACTCATGTTGAAATGTAATTGCTATGGTGATAGTATTAGGATGTGGGACCTTTAAAAGATGGCTAGGTTGTAAAGACTCTGCCCTTTTTTTAAAAATTCTAATTTGTCAATATATGACAGAATGCATTACAATTCATATTACACATATAAAGCACAATTTTCCATATTTCTGGTTGTATACAAAGTATATTCACACCATTCGTGTCATCATACATGTACTTAGGGTAATGATGTCCATCTCATTCCACCATAATTTCTACTCCCATGCCCCTTCCCTTCCCCTCCCAACCCTTTACCCTATCTAGAGTTCATCTAATCTTTCCATGTTCTCCCTCCCAACCCCACTATGAATCAGCCTCCTTATATCAGAGAAAACATTTCATCATTTGGTTTTTGGGATTGGCTAACTTCACTTAGCATTATCTTCTCCAACTCTATCCATTTACCTGCAAATGCCATGATTTTATTCTCTGTTATTGCTGAGTAATATTCCATTGTGTATATATACCACCTTTTCTTTATCCATTCATCTACTGAAGGGCATCTAGGTTGGTTTCATAGTTTAACTATTGTGAATGGTGCTACAATAAACATTGATGTGGCTGTGTCCCTGTAGTATGCTGTTTTTAAGTCCTTTGCATATAGACTGAGGAGAGGAATAGTTGGGTCAAAAGGTGGTTCCATTCCCAGTTTTCCAAGGAATCTCCATACTGCTTTCCATAGTGGCTGCACCGTTTTGCATCCCACCAGCAATGTATGAGTGTACCTTTTCCCCACATCCTCACCAACACTTATTGTTGTTTGTATTCTTAATAGCTGCCATTCTGACTGGAGTAAAATGAAATCTTAGAGTAGTTTTGATTTGCATTTCTCTAATTGCTAGAGATGTTGAACATTTTTTCATGTATTTGTTGATTGATTGTATATCACCTTCTGAGAAATGTCTGTTCAGTTCCTTGGCCCATTTATTGATTGGGTTATTTGTTTTTGTTGTTGTTGTTGTTTTTTGGTGTTGAGCTCTTTGAGTTTTTTATATACCTTAGAGACTAGTGCTCTATCTGATGTGCAAGTGGTAAAAATTTGCTCCCAAGCTGTAGGCTCTCTATTCACCTCATTGATGGTTTCTTTTGCTGAGAAGCATTTTAGTTTGAATTCATCCCATTTATTAATTCTTGATTTTAATTCTTATGCTATAGGACACAATACCTTTATTTTATTTATTTGTTTGTTTGTTTATTTATATGTGGTGCTGAGGATCGAACCAGTGCCTCGCACATGCTAGGCAAGCTCTTTATCATTGAGCCGCAACCCCAACACCAAGGCTCTGCTCTTATGGTGGGAGTGGGTTAATTGTCACAGGAGAAAGCTCCTGACAAAAAAGGTAAGTTTGGCCCCCACCTTCCCTTTGCCTTGAATGCTTCTTACCATGCCACCTTCTGCCATGGCCTGATGTACCAGATACTGACATTGGCGCTTGCCAGCCTAAGCAACTTAGCAAGACCCTGTGTCAAAAATAAAAACTAGGCTAGACGGACGCAGTGACACACTCCTGTAATCCCTGCAGTTCGGGAGGCTGAGGCTGAGGATTGCGAGTTCAAAGCCAGCCTCATCAACTAAGCAAGACCCTGTCTATAAATAAATAAATAAATAGGGCTAGGGATGTGGTTCAGTGGTTATGTGGCCTGAGTTAATCCTCAGTACCAAAAAAAAAAAAAAAAAAGTGAATATGCATTACAGAAAGGTTTTATCCTCAAGCCAATGGTGCTTCATTTTTAGAAAATCTAAAGTAGGCTACTGACATTGGAATTTGCTTCTTGGGAAATAACTAGTGGAACTGGAAGATCTATTAGGAGCTCTCTTGAAGCAAGCTGGGAAACCAAATGAGTCTCTAAATAGCTCTGGTCATGGAGTAGAGAGGAAGCGTGGAAAATTTGAAAAATGTTTGAGAACAAAATGAGTAGGACCTGGTAATCAGTAAGGATGTGGGAGCAAAATGACTCCCAAGGTGCAGAGATGGACACCAGACAGTGGTGCTGCAGGTGAGCAGCAGGAGCCCTTGTGACAAAGCAGGTGATCCTTTCTTCAGGTAGATCTGTACCCTCAGCCTGCTCCAGCATCCTCCACCCCTGCTGCCTTGCCCAGAAGGCTGCCCTGCAGTCAGCCACCAGAGCTTTTTTAAAATTTCTTGCCAACTTTGAACCCACAGGAAGAAAACACACCAAATCTTACTTGATGAAAAAAAGTCCCGGGGTAATTTAGTAGGCCAAATATTATAAATCAGATACCTGGGAAAATTGATGAAGACATGTGGGTTTGATGGAGGTGGCAAAAAAAAAAACCAGCCTTTCTTTTCAGTCTTGTTGACGGATTCCAGTGGTGACTCTATTTGATATATTTCCATTTGACCAGAGTGACTGCAGATTTTATCTAGTAGCACTGAAGTTAAAATCCATCTCCTTGTTCATTCTAGCATCAAGTACATAATTTTGCTTCACAAAGATAAAATAAGGCACATGTATCAAAATGTTTCATAGATACTCACTGTTGAAAGCTCCAGCAGCATGAAAGCCAAGATCAAAGAGCTGTGAAGGAAGGAATCGAGAGGAATGAGCGAGAGGCTCAGACCCCACAGAAGGCTCCTGGGACATGAGACCGGCACTGGGGCTCCCATAGGAAGTCTGGCATTCTTGGGTGGATTCACTAGTACTTGAAGAACCAGGACTTAGGAGATTGTTCAGAAATGAGAATTCCTTCTCAAAATCTTCTCCTTCCAATGAATCAACAGGTAAATCTTTCACAACCACTGATTGAAAATAGAAACAGAAAGCCTTTTTTTTTTCCAGTTTAAAGAAATGACAGTAGGACATACAAGAACAACGAAACAAATTTATCCTATTTTATTAACAATTTTCTAATCAATTTCATCATTAGTTTATGGGACGGTTGGGGGCAGGATTTAGATCAAAAAGGTTACATTTTTACAGTGAAGATATAACACAAATATCTACATATAAAATAAGCTATCACCTATGATAGACAAAAATGATGAGAAGAGATACAAGGAGATAGTAACAAATCAATAGGAGATTTTAATATGCCACACTCAGTAAAACACAGCTAAGAAGGACAAAAGATGAGTAAAGATATAGAAAACCCAGACAGCATAATCAATAAGGGGGTTATTTTGGATGTACACAAACCCTGAGACTAGAAACAAACCTTCTCAAGCACACATTGAAAATGCACAAAGCTAGGTATAGTGCCCCATGCCTGTAATTCCAGTGGCTCAGGAGGCTGAGGCAGGAGGATCAAGAGTTCAAAGCCAGGGGATGGGGTTGTAGCTCAGTGGTAGAGCGCTTGCCTTGCACTTGTGAGACTCTGGGTTCAATCCTCAGAAACACATAAAAATAAACAAAATAAAGGCATGCTGTCCATCTACAACTTAAAAAAAAGAGTTCAAAGATAGCCCTACTTTGCAGGGACCCTAAGCAACCTGGCAAGACCCTGTCTCTAAATAAAATACAAAAAAGGGCTAGGGATATGGCCCCTGGGTTCAATTCCCAGTAACCCTCCCAAAAAAAATCACAAAAAATGATCAACTTAAAAATCAGTTCTTAAAGTAGAGATATTATAAACAACAGGCTTTGATTACAGTGTAATAAAATGAAATAATTTTAAAATGAAACTAAAAAAGGGCTATAAAACTAAAAGTCTATGAAACACTCTTGGTTGAAAGGGGAACAGACTTTCTGAAATACAGTGAAAAAGTATTTCCTATCATAATCCATGAGACACATAAAGAGCAATGAACAGAGGAAAGGTAGCCCTTAAATGCTTATCAATAAAAATGAAAGCAAGGGGTTTCCATCATGACAGAATAAGAAGCTCAACCAGCCTACACCTCAGTGTAACTGGTGAAAGTTGGTTTGTTTGTTTTGTTTAATTTAATTCTCTAATCTTTTGAGACAGTGTCTCACTAAGTTGCTTAGTGCCTTGCTAAATTGCTGAGGCTGACCTCAAACTCAGGATCCTCCCACCTCAGCCTCCCAAGTTACTAAGATTACAGGCATGCATCACCATGTCCAGCTTACGGGGTGTTTGTTTGTTTGTTTGTTTTAAAGAGAGAATGAGAGAGAATTTTTTTTAATATTTATTTTTTAGGATCTGAACCCAGGATTGAACCCAGGCCACACGCATGCCAGGCGAGTGCGCTACCACTTGAGCCACATCCCCAGCCCTGTTTGTTTTTTAAGCATTTAAAGTCTCTGGAAATTGTCCCAAGGACATAAAAAATATGAAAACATTTGACTCAATGTTTTAGTCAATGTTCTAGTGTACTAGAATTCAAGAGGAACAGGGAGACTCTGGTGTTTGAACTGAGAACCATTCCCTTCCTATTCCTCCCAACTTGGCCAGATGGAAATTCCACTCCAGTTTGGTATAGCCCAAAACACAGGGTTCCCTCTCCCTCAGTGCTCAGTTAAAGGATACCTTCCAGGAGGGGTAAAATGCCAGCTTTTCACAGGTTGCTCCCAGTTGCCTGTTGTCAAACCTGTCCCATGACTGTAGTCAAGAGTGGAGACTCCCATCTCCCACCCAGACCCACATGTCAGATGGAGACTCTGGAGTTAGGCATGGCAAGCTAAGGATGCTAGGGCCCTGAGCACTTGGTCCTGTGTGTAAAGTTGTAGTTTCATGAAGCCAAAAAGACCTCAGACTCCTGTCATCTCTCTTCATCTAGCATTCAACTTGTACAACAGGTTTATCACAGAGAAGCATGCCATTGTCCCCACTCCTAGCTCAGTCCCTCACTCAGAGATTTTCTTTAGGGGAGAGAAGCAGACCACAAAAAAGATAGCTCCTAACCTCTTCACAAAAGAACTAACTTTATTCTCAACAAAGTATGGAAATGTTCAAGCCAAAGAATGCTCTAGATAACGAAGGCTGTGAAAAGCAACTGGTGGTTGCATTGGACATTCAGGCTAAACTGTAGGCCAGTTAGTTTGCCTGAAAAAGCCAGCTAACATCAGAACAAATTTCAAACATTGACCTTGAGAACAAGTCCATATTTGATTGTTTTAATCTGTGGAACAATTTATGCTCAAGGGTATTTTTTAAATTAATAGAGCAATCAGCTATAAATGACAGCTGGGTATAGTCAGAGAGAGACTGTCAGAGAACTCTACTGAAACTGTCATCACAGGGCCCAACCTAAACCTTATAATGTGTCCCACTAGTGGGGGTGGGAAAAGAGGAAGATGAAGAATAGATTCCAATAAAAGAATTCAACCTCTTGGCAAATGAACAAGCAAATAAGTTTCAGAGGGGGAGTACCAATACCCAAAGTTACTTAAATATATTATTTAAAATGTCTGTTTTCCAACAAAAAGATGTGAGTCATGTACAGAAATTGGAAAGTATGATGCCTAAATCAGCAAGAAGGCAGGCCACAGAAGCTGCAGGTGAGACTGACTAGGTGTTAGATTTAAAGACAAAGACTTCAGAGTCACACTTATATGCAGAGAAATAAAGGAATCCATGATTAAAGAAATAAAGGAAATGGATTGGGAACAAGATGGTGGCTGTCTGCTCAACTTGAACGACTGTTTATGAATAATCACCATCACAAGAGCTAAGAAAGAGCCAGATGGGAAACCACAATGCCTGGTTGTATTATGACAATAAGAAAAGGGCAGGAAAGAGTTTGTCATGTCATCCCTGTCCCAACTCCATTAAGCACACACAGGGGAGATGCCCCCAGCTTGGGGGAGAGAGAAAATTTTAGTGCAGGCCTCTGATTACCAGGTCTGCTGTGCCAGACAGGATCCCAGAGTTCCTACCCTAAGACCAGTATCTGCAGATTGATCCTTTGGATCCTCCTTAGTCAGATGTCCAAAAGGACTGCCTCCATCAACTCTTTGCCACCCTCAGACATAAGAGCAAGAAGCAAAGCTCCAGCCACCAGGGCACAGGGCAGGAAAGTGAGCATAGGACTTTGCCTCAATGCCAGGCTCCTCTTTAGGCTAATGCTCACAGACGAGTCTCTAGACCTACACCTGCATCAGGTAGAGACCTGACTCTGGTAGGACAGACATATTTATCTTTTACCCCGCGTCACTGGCAATCACACATGGGACTGGCACCCAAACTTAAGACTGTGTAAGTTCCTATGGCTGTGCAACTTGGGTATTATGTGGCTTAGTGTCATTCAGATGGCCATGGGGCTGCCTCTGCCACCCCTCCCAACTTTGGGCACACAGCAAGGAACAAGAGGCCAGCCACTATGGAGTAGATCAGCAAAATGACACAGAACTGTATTTTGGAACTTAGTTGCTGAGCTAGTAAAACCCAACATTGGGGAAGATCCTAATGGTCTCTGTCTTCAAGCCAGTGCCTATGGATGAAGCCTGTGAACCTGACCTATTGCCAAATAAAGACACTTGGCCACTGATGATCAGATTTATATACCATCCAGAATCAACCTGGGGCTAGCTGCAGCAGTCTTGGGCTGTAAGTTCACTATAGCAGGAAGCCCGTAGCAGCCTACATCTTACTGTGCTGGTTTCAGCAGACAGTGGGCTCCAAATATGATCTAGCATTGCAACATTGGTGACCACATGCACAGAATAACTGTCTGGGACAAGAAAAAGGAGGAAAGCACCAAGTCACTCCCTAAAAGCCTGGGACTTGCTCAGTGAGATTCAGAGCCAGACAGAGTCCTGTGGTGTCTTCCAACAGACCAGTGAATATGATTGAAGTGTCTGGGCCTATCCCAGGCCCAGGCAGAGGTTTGTGAGAAAAGAACACTTTATAGATACTCCCCAACCACGGACTTGGGACAAACTGGGTTTGGGGCAACCATCAGTGCTACAACAGAAAAACACCAATAAGAGACTTTTAACAAACTTAAGATACTGGGCACCATCTAGAGCTGAAGTAGTGGAAATGTCCACAGGTTCAAAGATTACTACAATGCTTAGAAATTCTGGAGGGACAAACACAAAGCTAGATTATGAAGACTGGAATATCCAAGGCAATGTGCACCAAATGTTGTATGTCAACAATCATCAAGAACTTCAGGGAACACTGACTGCACCTGATGAACAAAATAAGGCACCAGGAAGGGATTACAGCAATTGATATTTGAAAACTCTTGGACAGATAATTAAAAATAACTTTTAAAGAATTTCAACGAGGGGCTAGGGTTGTAGTTCAAGTGTGGAGTGCTTGCCTCATGCATGACATGTGAGGCACTGGGTTTGATCTTTAGCACTACATAAAAATAAATAAATAAAGGTATTATATACATCTACAAGTAAAAATATTTTTTTTAAAAAAGAATCAACAACAGGCAGGGGATATAGCTCAGTTGGTAGACTGTTTGCCTCACATGCACAAGGCCCTGGGTTCATTCAATCCCCAACACCACAAAAAAAAAAAAAAAAAAAAAGAGCTTCAAGAAAACACAGAAATGATTCAATACTTTTTTTTTTTTAACCAAGGATTGAATCCAGGGATATTTAACCACTGAATCACATCCTGGCCCTTTTTATATTTTATTTAGAGTCGGGGTCTCACTGAGTTGCTTAGAGCCTCAAATTGCTGAGGCTGACTTTGAACTCGTGATCCTCCTATGCGCCAAGGTGCCTGGCATGATTCAATAGTGTTAAAGAAATTTAACAGATTGATGTAAATTTTTTGTGGGGGGTACCAAGGATTAAACTCAGGACACTCAACCACTGAGCCACATCCCCAGCCCTATTTTGTATTTTGTTTAGAGGCAGGGTCTCACGAGTTGCTTAG